CCGCCCCCCGAGCCCACCCGGCCTGCCCGCTCCGGCGCTCGGGAGCCTCAGGCTCCGCCTGCTCGCAGCGTCCTACAACTTGACCCAGTCCCTCCGGTGAGCACAAACAGTCCTTCGCTCCTGCAGGATTCTGACGCAGGGCATCCAGAGCGTCCTGCATAGTCCTCAAACTCCAAAGCCACCCTGGGAGGATCTCCACATGCTCTGACCTGGTCAGAACTCAGGGAAACAGCTTTGAACGGAGGAGACCCCTGCTTCCCTGCTCACCCTTCTCCATACAGCCCTACCCAGACCTCTGATCCACCCGCAGCCCCTAACTCTTTGATGTCACTGGCCCCTTGCCGCATGGTGGGGCACACAGGACCCAGAACCACTGCAAAAAATGTTCGTATTGCTGCAAACTAGTTCGCTGTCTCTCCAGGCACCCTAAGCCCTGAAGGGAAAGGGGTCTAGGGGTCAAAGGTGGGCCACCAGGGACAAGCCACGGCTCCAACTTTGCCAGCTGCACAGATGGAGACTATGACCACCCAAGCTCACACGCCTGGACAGCTGCAAACAGAAGCCAAGCCTGCTGCCTCTCCAAGCTACACTCCTCAGGAGGGACACACACCAGGCCTTTTCCACCTCACCCTGGAGCCCACTACACTCAAGTCACTGTAGGAACAAATGCAGTAGCGGCCCCTACATGCAACCGAAGTGCACATTCAGGGATATGAATGTTCTGCATTGAGCTGCTCTGTACAGTATTTATACCATTTTCTCCTATGAACACACACACACACATGCATTACTTTGTTGGTCAGAAAACAATGAATGTCACACACGCGTGTGAACACACACACACACACGTCCCACCTAGGTCATGCACAAAAGCGTATGTCTCTTGGGGCCCATCCATTACCCAGAGCTTGCCACCTTAGCATCTCTGTCTGCTGCCCTGGCCCGGTACCCAACGAGGGCCCAGGCCAAGCCTTCTCTTTGGGGTTGCTAGTGCCGCTGCCTGATGGAGAATCTAAAAAAGTAACTTCTCAGTTGTGCAGTTGTTTTCCTTTGACCTTTTCATCCCCAGTGAAGGCAGGCAGGTTGCATCCCATTTTCTGTGTTCTGCTCCTCCCTCCCACCCCTTTTGTGTTTGGTGCTGAGAGAGACGCTCAGCTATTTCTGGTCATAAGGGTGGTTTTTACACATTTGTAAATCTTCACTTAGTGAATCGTTCTCTCCCCCTTTGTCTTTGTGTCCTTAATGGTAGCCATAAATTACCGCCTTCTTTTCTCTCTGCTGCATCAGGCTTCATTGCTTTTGAAATGATCAAAGTTATTTCTTTTAAAATCCAACTAGAAACTGCCCATTGTGTGGCACAGAGCTCTTTAGCTGCAGTCAAAGCATAGAAATACATAAAGCTGCCCATTAAACTCTGGGGAGCCTCCTCCAGCCCCCCTTGTGCCTGATAAAGAAGATGTGCTATTCTTTTCCTTCCCTGTTTGCCCAAGTTTATGCATCAGTAGAAATACAAATTAATAAGGCCCAGTGCCTTTTTGCCCAAGAGGATCAATTTTTGTTCTGTTTCCCAGAGAAGTTTACCACTTGTGTAGATCTCAGAAAAATTGTTTTCAATCTTATTTTGTTTTCCCTGACTTCCATACGAACATACTTTCAGCTCGCTGGCTTCCAGCCTGCCGAGCAACCTTTCTGACACGTGAAATTAAAGGCAGTATGGTTTACAACTGGGGCTTTCCATAGCGGAAAGCTCCAGGAGGAAATAGTGTTCGAATGTCACTGCGTTCAGTGTCAGGTGGCCCTGTACTTGCTGCTGTCTGCCCTCTATTGTCCGGCTGTGGTCCCCACAAACTTCTCAGAAAAGTAACAGGCCCTGTTCCTGCACTAAGGCTGATTCTCCCGCCCTCTTCCACTCCCCCACCCCTCTAGGCTGAGAGGCCATGAACCAGGCCTGAGGTAGCCCGGCGACTTGGCCAGCCCAGTCACAATAGTATGGTATGGGCTTCTGGCTGGTCCAAATACTGGAAGTACCCGATAACAAAGTCAAAGTTGGCATTCATCATCCACCTTTCAGGGCCCATCTTTCCTGACTCTTGAGTAGCCTCTGAGGGGCCAACTACTTTCTCCTTCTGGAAAGTCTCCCTGCCATGGTTTGCTCGGCAGCAGGCAGGCTTCTGGTGTTCCTCCCACCTCTCAGGAAATGCCTTCTCCACCATCTTGGGACCCTCTCCCTGGATGCTTCATTCATTCCCTTGATCAGTAACATAAATCCCCAGTCTGAAGCTGCCCCTTAGCTTCAGTCCCTTGCGTCCGATTGCCTACTGAGTAGTTACCTCCATTTCCTGTGGGTATCCTCTGGTTCAACATGTTCAGAATGAGCTCATCCTCTCCTCCAGTGCATTCCCTGAAAGAGGGAAGGTTACTATCTTTCAGACACCAAATCAGAAGGCTGGCAGGCATCCTGGACTCCATTCTCCCCCTTCCCACAGCATCCAGTCGCATCATCTCTACCTTCTTACCATCTTCCATACTCTTAGCGTCCTCTCCTCCATGCCAAGCTCAGGGATGCCTCACCCCTCACCTGGTCTCGCACACCTAACTCAGAGTGTGGCAGTTAGGGTGGAATGTCCACTTGACCGGCTTTGGGGCCCCCACCCCCTGGATTGGTGGAGCATACTTTTGGGTATGTCTGAGTGGATTGTGGAGGCACAACCTTGAGGTCTATGTCCGGTCCATTACTGCTTCCTCTCTGGTTACCTCTTTCTGCTTCTGCCACCATGAACTGAGGAGGTTTGTTCCACCGTGTTCTTCCATCACGACATTTCTGCCACAGAGCCAGTTGACCACGAATGAAAATCTCTGAAACTGTGAACCAAATTAAACCTCTCCTCCTAAGTTGTGGATGTAAGTGATGGGAAAATGACTAATATACAGGGGCTGACAGAGTAAAACACATTTCATCACATCACTCCCATCTTCCTCAGGCCAGAGTCAAAACTCCCTTGATCCAAACCCTGAAGAAGGGGCCGGGGATTTAGCTCAGTGGTTCCGCCACCTGCATTGCAAGCACAAGGACCCAAGTTTGATTCCCGGTACCAAACAAAACAACAAACCCTGGAGAGTGTTGGACAGTAGCTCCTAAAGAAGAATGCATCTGCCCACTCCTAAGTAGATGACCTACAGAAAAAGTACATCTGTTCACAGAAGAAATGTACAGAAAGGTTCCTAACAGCTACATTTACACAGCATTAAACTGGAAGTAACCCAAATGCCCATCAAATCAGAGTCTGAACAAATTGTGGGATATTTATTCAGTGGAATATTGGGAAGAATACAAACTCTGACACAGGAAACAAGGCATTTCATGAACATTAAGTAAAGTTAAAGAAGCCAGGTACAGAAGGCACATACTGTATAATTCTACTTCTGTGAAGTTTAAAAGCAAGCAGAGCTAATTAATAATGATAGAGACCAGAGTAGTAGTTTTCTCGGGATGAGTATTCTGGAAAAGAGCACGAAGGAATCTTCTGGAATGCTGGTAATATTCTGGATCTTGACGTGCAAAGTGATTATAATATTATACATATGTTAAAATTCATTGAAATGTTGTCTAAAACTTAACATACTTTTTGCAGTTTACTGTTCATGTGTTTTACCTCAATCAGTTGAGGCAGGACATCCCTCCTAGCCAGAGACCTGGCAATCTGATCCCCTTCTGCTTTGCCAGCTTTCTGTCCTACCACTCCCTCACTCAGGCTACACTTCAGGGCATCAGATCACGGCCTTATACTACTTGGCATTTTGTCAGTTTCCCCTTATACAACTCTTCTTCTGCTCACACTATTCCTTTGCCTGCAAGGCACCAAGAAGTGTGTCTCAACAAATATTTGAAAAGTGAAATGTAACATCCTGATTAATAAATATCACTGTAAAGAAAAAAAGATGCTTACTGGGATGTCCCCCAAAGCGATGAAGTATGCATGAAAACACTTGAGCTTTCAGATCAGCAGGTACTGAGAACTCATGCAGAAAACTATCTGTTTCTTGCATGCACATTAATTTCTCCTCCATAGATGGCTACCGTATCTCCAGGAAAATGTTCCTGCTATGTATGAACTGGGTATGAGGTAGGACATTTTTCTAGTGGCTTATCCATCTATGTATGCTCCTTCCTCCTTCCTAACAGATATTTCTGCTTTGAGGCAGCCCATGTCCCTAGGGAACCTGTCTCATGTCCAACTTCAGGCTCTAGCGCTGGTTTAAGACAATATCTTTCGGGTAATAAGGGAGAGGAAAAAAATATGAGAAACTGAAAAAATGGAAATAAAGTGTTTGTAAATGGGGAGGGGAGGCGGGGTGGAGGGAGGGCAGGGACGAGGGGAAAAATGAGAATCAAGACCTATTATGTAAAGGTACAGAATCCCAATGATGAATGTAATTGTATTGTATACCTAGATTGTACCAATAACCTCAATAAAAAGAAAAAAATAAATAAATATTTTTAAAAAGACAATATCTTTCGTTCTCTTCCCCATGCAATAGTCACTGGTCGAGGGATGGGTACATGACAGCCTTCTAATCAGAGGCAACCTAGGTTTCTTTGCATGAAAGCCTAAAATAGAAGGGCTCTTTGCTTCCTTGTGAGGTGGCTGTGGTGAATGAACACCATGGCAGCCACCTACCCCAATAAGCCAAGAAAAACACTGAGAAGTCAGCCAGGAGACACTGTCTACCTCAGACCTCCAATTACATGTATCACTACACTTCTCTATTTATTTTATTTTCATTTTTTAAATTATGGTAAAATATGCATCATGTAAAATTTACCATTTTAACTACTGTAAGCATCAAGTGCATTTATATTTTAGGCAACTGCCATCAACACCCATCTCCAGAACTTTCTCACCTTGTAAAAATGACACAGTACCCAGTAACTAATTGCTCATTCCCCCATCCAACCCCAACACCTGGCAACTACCATTCTACCTTGCACTTTTATGAATTTGAGTATCTCACATGAGTAGAAACACAGCATCGTGACTGGGTTATTTCACTTAGCATAATGTCCTCAAAGTTCATCCACGTTATAGCTGGGTCAGAATTCCCTGCTTTTGTAGGGCTAAATAATAACTTTAGATAGACAGATGGTAGACAGACAGACAGACACATAGACACACATCACACTTTGTTTATACATGCATCTGTCAGCGGATACTTGAATTGGTTCCACTTTGGGTTGTTGTAAATAATTCTGCCCTGAATGTAGCATGTCCCTGCTTTCACTTTTTTTTTTTTTTTCATATGTGCCTAGAAGTGAAATTGCTGGAGTGTATGGTAATGTTTATAATCTCTTGAGGAACTCTCATACTGAGTATCTTAGCAATTGTACCATTTTGTATTTCCACCCCTACACTTCCTCACCAATGCTCACCAATTCACTTTTATAGCCATCCTGATGGACATGAAGTGGCATCTCATTGTGGTTCTTTGCATTGGGTTTGTTGTTGTTCTTGTTATTTCCAGCCCCTCCCCAAAAAATCTTCCTCTTGGGTTCCATAGAAGTCTCTACTATGAAACTTCACTGAAGAGCAAGGGATCCTCTAAATAAGGTGGGAGAAAGAAAGTTGGGTAGGGTTGAATCCTCTCGGGACTCAAAATAATAAATAATTATTTAATCATAGATTTGGTGTTATCTTGGTATCAAGCCTGGTCTCTATTTATTTCTTTAATAGTTCTAAAACTGTACCAACATTCTGTTTCTCTTACAAAAGCCTAAAAATACTTCCAGGGCTGCACAAGTAGGTCAGTGGTAGAGTGCTTGCCTAGCATAGGCAAAGCCCTGGGACTGATCCCCAGAATTGCATTTAAAAAAATCCTTCTAATAAATACTTATTTTAAAATAATATATGTTATGAAATAAATCAGACACACATGTTTAAATACCACGTTGTTTCTCTGGTGTGAGAAACCGAAAGTGGAAATAAATGTATAAAATGTATAAAAGATATTGGGAAATGGGAAGAAAATATTCAAATGGGGAACAAGGCAGGACGGAGGGAGAAAGGACAAGAAAAAAAGTGACAATAGAAGGAAAAAATGGAAACAGCTTTTGTACACAGGGAGGGGAGGGGACTTGAAAGGGGAGGGAGATGGGAAAATAGAGGTGGGATGTACCATGTACAGGCGCAAACTCCTGGTGATGAGCGTTATCCTTATGTGTGCCCAAATTGTGCCAATAAGTGCTTTGCTACAAAACATGATATATGGTAACATTTGAAAGAAATCTAAACACCAGACACTATTCTAAGCACTTCAGACTTCACATATATTAGTTCATTTAACCCTCATAAAAACTGTAGGAAGTAGATGCCATTATTACCCTTATTTTGCAGACTCATAAGATGAAGAGAGTCTAAGTAACTTGCTGGGAATGGTAGACCAGGATTTGCTGCCAGGACTCTGGCTTCAGGTTCCCCTTCGGAGTCACTGCTCTGTATGGCCCGTATTACGCCGGGTGCTGTGAGAGATAAGGATGAGTTAAGGGCCAACCCTGCCCTAAAGCAGCTTACAGTCCAGCAGAGAAGGTCAGACACAAGTATTCCTCTTCAGCACTTCTTCAAAAGTATGAGCACGACCATTTCTGTTTAAAACCCTGTGGGGCTCCCCTTTCTACCTATACCTCGTGCACAGGACTACTTAATTCACAGGGCCCAGCACAAAATTAAAACACTGGGCCCCTTAGCCAGAAAGTGAGGGAAAGGTGCTGCTGAAGATATGAAAAAGGTTTTTTTCTGCTGGACATGGTGACTCACCATGGGATTCTATAATCCCAGAATTTTTTGAGGCTGAGGCAAGAGAATCAGGAGTTCAAGGCCAGACTGGACTGGACAGAGTGTTCAAGGCCGACCTAACCTACACAGTGAGACCTTGTTTTGAAAACAAAAATAATGTGCCAGGCATGGTGCTGCACACTTGTAATCCCAGCACTCGGGAGGCTGAAACAGGAAGATTGCTGTGAGTTTGAGACCAGCCTGGGCTACATAGTGAGTTCCAGGTTAGTTTCAACCACTTAGTGAGACCCCGTTTCAAAAAACAAAGCAAAACAAAACAAAACAAAAAAAAGAGTTGGGGGCTTAGCTCAGTGGTTCTGCCACCTGTCTGGCAAGTGCAAGGATCCAAGTTCGATCCCCTATACCAAAAAAAAAAAAAAAAAAAAAAACTTAAAAAAATAAGTAATTTTTAAATCCCTTTTAAAACTATTTTATTACCTGTAAAATATAATAGGGTAATATGAATAAAAATATAAACTTAATTGCCAAAAATATTTTGGTGTCATAATCTTATATAATGCAATAAATAAGAATATTAATGTTTGATCAGTC